AGTCTAGTACGCCTGACGCATATATGCTCACTGCACCGCTGAGCCAATACACGAATAACTATGTCGACGAGTCATCCCCGACTTCAGGTTCGAGACGAAAACCGCGTGTGAAGAGTGAGAAGCGAAGCCAGTCTATGACGATGTGGTGGGCTGAACGCAAGGCGAAGAAGCGTGAGCAAGACGAAAAAGATGGAAAGCCTGCGAAGCCCACTCCCTCGCGCTCGAATTCATCAAACCGGAGGGGTGCGCGGCAATCTGGAGGCTCGGCAACTGGCGCGACGCCCCAACCACAGGCTTCAGAGTCGCAACAAGCATCTCCAATCCACCATCCTCAACATGCTCCTCCACAACACAGCCCTCATCACGCCCCTCCAGAAGCATACCTTCAGTACACTCAAGGTCCTCCTGGCCCACCGGGTCATTACATGTATGTCAGTGGGCCACCACCACCACCACCACCACCACCACCGCACCACATGATGATGCAATACTCGCCACTTGCGGCGTTACCAACCGGCTCTTTCCCAAGTCCATATGCCCACCATCCACCCCATCCTCATTCAGGTATTCCCCTTACTCAGCCTCCGAGCTCCGCGGGTGGACCATTTGGAGCTGGCCCCCGTCAGCTTGCTCCCGCACCCATGGGCATGCCCACATACCCTAGCCCGTACGGACCTCAAAGTCCAGCAGGTGGAAGGCCAAAGAGCAGTGGTCAGTCCTTACCGAGAAGTACTGCTACAGTGCAGAATGGACAGCAGGTGCTGGCACCTGCTCCATCTCAGCAACAACCTCAACAGCCACAAGGGCAGCACTTCAGTCCGTATGCGCCGGTGAGCGCGGGAGGTGCTGCGGGTCGGGAGATGCCTTTCAAAGTCATGGTACCTGGGCCTACGCCAGAAAGGAGAGGAAGTCGTTAGAAACGGCTGTCTCCTCGTAATAAACAGGCTGTTGGAGCAGGCGATGAGAGTGATGATAGTATATACGTGCTTGCTTGATTGATTGATTGATTGTTTGTTTGTTTGTTTGTTTATTTTGCTTTGCGGTGAGCAGAGCTGGGAGTTGTCGTGCGTGGTAATGAAAACAGGCTGTCAACGAGCCTTTGTATTATAGTAATCATACTGAAACTTTCACCTACACATCTTCTGCGTCCAGTTCCTGCATGCATACAACGAGCTGATGCAGAATCTATTGATCCTTACGACCCATTCCCTACCTCTTCTATTTATAGTATAGCCTTAGGTTCCATCTCTATTCCGACCGTGTGGTCTATCGTTGCAATGTTTCATTCGACCAGAGCTTATCTCAATGACCATGCAGCTGGAGAAGCCTATACCACTAAGGCCTGAGATTACTAGCCCCAACGATTGTTCGTTCAACGCATGCACATTCGTACCGTCTTAGACAATATGCTTACCAACATGCCCTACGGCTCACTGACGAATCTCTAAATCATCAGCAGGCATATATCAGCATACTTACGACCATTCACTAGCAGAAACCCCACTAATCTCAGCGCAATCTGCACGAGTACTCAGTCTGACTGGCCATGCTTCCATCTGGACGATAAGGGTCAGCAGCCTTCAGATGGACTATAATTCCCTTCCCAACACGAAACTAGTGATCACCATTTCGGTGGTAGGGAAATGAATCTAAGACACCCATACAACTATTCTGGGGGTACGAAAGCGACTGTCGGGACAGGCTGGATCAAGTTTGAGGTGAACGCCCTAGATGAAGTAAAGAGAAAAGAGGGATACTTCACGTCACAAGAGGAACAGGTGTAGCAATTCAGATGAAAGTACATGTTGTAACTGAGACGATGAACAGCGCGCTCGTATCATGAGATACGCATGATTAAATGGCAAGAACGCCAGTCATGAAATTGTGAGTATATTATCTCACTTTATGTGAAACCCAAGAGTTCGTAAACTTGGTCCTATCCTACAGTCTCATATGGATGAACTACTTTCACATGTTATTTAACCTGATCACTGCCAGCGCTAAGTTGCTCATGACCATGAAACTCCTGACTCATATTTACCTAGAAACCCAGCCCTGGCGCCAGAAGAATATTTATGAGTGGCCTCGACAATACTTCGTCCAATTAGTTCGCCAGCAGCTCAAGCCCCTTACCACTCGGGACGCTCTGTTCGCAGGACAAGCCAGCCTTGGGAATCGTGTGAAAGAGGGCAGGGTGTGAGAGGGCATTCGCCGTACTTGTGCTTCAGAGAGCACCTCCAGCGTGCGCACTGAGTGTTATTCTCGACGCAGTTGCGGCACCTGGCACCGTTGTCGCACGGCAGATTCTTGTTGTAACACTCAACGCACGAGATCACTAACTTGGGAAGTTTGCTGGCCCCAGAAGGTTTGACTACGTGCGCAGCGCCACGGAGAGACTCGCCATGGTTAGTGATTTTCATCAAACGGCTCTGGCTCTGGCTGAGTTGCGCCTCAATCATTTTGAGCTGGTTGCGCTGGCGATCGCACGCACTGCTCTTCTCCATAAGCTTGCTCTTGATATCATCGATATCAGCTTGATTGCTCTTCTCCTGGGCAGCCTCAAGATCATCTTCTAACCCAGCGACCTTGAGCTGTTCAGCCACGATCTGGTGGCGTAGATCGGTTATGAGCTTCTCTCGCTGAGCCAGCGTGTCGGCTAGGTTGCGGGCTCGGTTGAGGTGATCAACGGAGTTCGTCCGAGCGCGGGATGCCTCGTCCCGTTCGCGAGTCACCCGGTCGATGGTACGTTCACTCTCTTTCATCTTCTGCCCGAGGTTTTCCAGCTCGTGGTCTTTTGCGGAAAGAGCGTTCTCTGTCGTCTTAATATGTCCTTTTAACTCGTCAATCTCAAGCTGTTGCGTCTTGATCTTCATCTCTTTCTCAGACAAAGATCGACCCATTGCTGCCTTCTGAGCTTTGTTAGCTTCGTTCTGGTATTTGAGTTTGCCGAGCCGCACGCTGATGTCGTGATCAACGTCTCGAAGGACTGCGTTGTTTGTTTTGAGGGTCGAAAGTTGACTCTCTAGCTCCAGCTTCTGCTTCTTGATCGTGTTGAGCTCTTTGCCCAAGGACTCCCAGTTCTGCTTGGTCACCCGTACAACGGCTTCTTGATCGGATCGGAAGCCTGATGGTGAGTACTGGAGCGATTCAGTGGGGGTGGGTGGGTGAGTGGGTCCTACACCTGCCGGTAGCTCAAGGCCTGAGATGAGGAGCGGCTGCTTGCACAGTGGTGATGGTGAACGCCTACGACGGTGATGATCGCATTCGCTATCGTCGTCGCTTTTGTAGCTGATGATTGCCTCGGCCATAGTTTCGAAGAGTCTCATGTTCTCTGGACAGTACTCTAAGATCGGCTCGGAGGCGACAAGTGGTGGTGCCGCGAGCTCTTGTTCCTGGAGGAATGCAGCGACGGATTCGGTAGGCTGAAACGACCTTGCCAGCGGAGAAAAAATGCTGGAGCCAGACTGGACACGACTGGCGAAACGAGGGCCTGTATGGCTTTAGCTAAAGGTCAGAACGATACGCCGTTGAAGCACCTACCATTGGGCGCGACAGTGAGCGGCTGCGGAGGTGGCGCAGGCGTCGAAATCGGTGTATACAGCTTCTTAGCCCTCATCATGCTTGCAAGGTCGGAGAAGCTGTCACGGTGAGTTGGCTCTACGCCCTTGTTTGCGAGCGTCATCTTGCCGACGAGACCATTAGTAGTGCTCTTTAGAGAGGCACTGTCACCGTCAAGGTCGATGAGATCGTGAATCATGGTCGTGTCACGAAGGAGGAAAAGAGATGACCTTGTGAGTGGACAGCTTTTATGATTGTGCCCGGTTGAGGTGAGAGAAATCGCAGTCACCGTAGCGCCAAACGTGGGATCAACTCTTGGGGGCAGGAGCGGCGGACGCGCGGCAACAACATACCGTTGAGCGAACCTAGATACTGGAAGGTGAAGTCCATGCAGGAGCATACAATAGATGATGGGTGAAATAATGAGATTCAGAGTGGTAGATGGCAGATAGAGATGCAGGTAGCTCGGGACGTCGTTCGTATGGGCAGAGCATGCCCTAGAGTATACGAACTGTTTTGTCTTGTTAGCGCGTTGACTCGAACTACCTCGCATACCTCCAGGCTACATGAAAGTCAAGTACGACTTACAAAGGACACGCATGGTATACTCCAAGTTGAGGTTTCTCCACAAAGATCCGACCGCATGCTTGGTAAACTTGTTCTACGTGCTGATGATTTCCTGGGGTCATGCCTGGGTATCAGTCTTCCTTTGGTTCATCACTCCGAATTTAGTTTGATCCTCCAATAGGCTTCCTCTTCTTCATATTCTTCTCAAGCGCGGTTCACTGTACAGCCGTGTCCTCCAAACGAACGTATCGTGACTGCATAATCTCTAGTTCCGTCAACGCTACTTCCCAGCACCTTCATTAGCTCTTTCCGGTGTTGTCAATAAGGTATACTGGACGGCAGCTATAGATGGAATGAAGGCGGCTTCGACGACGACATCATGTAAGTCCAGTGAGAAGCCAACGGTAGCATCGTCTTTAGTAGCAGTTTATCCTACGCATCCTTGTATAGACCATGCACCAAGCGGAAACTCAGACTGAAAAGCATCACATATGGCTGTTTTAACTAGTACAAGACGAGAGCATGATTAATCTATGAACATGACTTGATAGTATGAGAAGTCAAAGATTGTGGACGTGAGAACTGAAATGAATCACTGCCATAGCTCGATGATTTGAACGGTTGTATTTCAGACACAACCTTAGAGCAAAACTTACGATCTGCACATGCTTGAATCCTGAACTTGTGGCCAGTATTTGAGATCTACTCTGACCATCAATCGCATCACAGATCGGAAATGCTACGAACGAATGACGAGAGATTGACATATTTGACTTGCGCAGCAACGATTCCGGAGGGCCATCAGGTGCGTATGAGGTTCAAGCATATTGTCCTGATGGCAGTGATGTTCATAGGGTGTTCAGGAATCTTCTTGATCACCGACCAAATCGCTTCAATTCCCATGCTCTCAAAGGAGGATAGACAATTGCAGCCCACGCGAAACCGACAAAGTTGCCCATCTGATCATGTTAGTTACAAATAGCTCAAGGTTTCAGCTTTTACTTACATCGGCTCCGTAAGTTCCAACCTGTTTAGCGATTGGTCCAATGTACCAAACCTGAGCCATACACATGATTGCCCCGATCCAACCAATAACGAACGCTGTAAAAGCGGCGATACCGAGTGGTAGCTTTTTCTTCTGATTCCAGACTTGCCAGTTGAAGCCGGTCTTGCGACGGAAGACCAAGTGCTCTTCCAGGATAACCGCGATCCAGACAGAGACCCAATAGCCCATGAGAGCTAGAAAGTTGGTGAAAATCTCAGCAAGATGTGCGCGTCCGGCTAATGCGCAGACTGTATAGATGACTACACCAACGGTATTCCATATCACTCTTGGTACAGCACCCGCATAACGTCCCAGTATCTGCGCATCAATCCCGGAAGAGTACGTAGGGACAATGAGGTTGGCGACAAGACCCAAGGCAACCACCACGCCGCAGAAGGAACCGAACGCGCCTAGCGGTTTGTACGCTTCGACTATGAGAGCGCCTTGCGATATTCCGTACGCTGCTTCCCACTCCGTGTTGGTCAGCATACCGCATGCGAGGCCGATACCCAAGATGAAGGCGAAGGTGAAACTGCACATTAGACCTAGCATGGTCATGCCAAATATTTTGAATGACGATGCGTGTTCCGGGTAGTAGACGAAGTAGTCGGCTGCTCCGCCACCGTATGTGATAGCTGCGGCGAGCGTCAAGCCGAAGAAGCTGATGCGATTGCCAATGATAGTGTCTGGGTCTTCATCTCCGTGAGACTCAGAGGAAATATTAAATTGCGGACCAGCAAGGCCAGCTAGGATGCAGAGCACAATCAGCTGTGGTAGCCAAGCCCAGCGCTCATAATAGTGAAAGATCTGGTAGCCAAAGGTAGTAATAGCCCACGCGATGATGGCTACAATAATGATGCCGACTACGACGGACATGGAGTTGTCCGAGACAGCGGAAAGAATCTGTCCGGCGACTACACAGTCGATCATGCCTAAAAGGTGCGTGTACCAAGTCAATACATGCCTCACATGCAGCTGGTACAGGGACATGTCTTACCGTAGCCGAGCAGGACGATGATGTTGAGCAAGACAACGACCTTGGATGGCCACCAGCCCGTGACGTATCGTGAAAAGATCATAGTCCGATTCCCACCCTTTGGGCCAAACGTCGCGATGTAAGCCACCACTAGACAGCCAACGAATGCGCCGAAAACGCCGAGCAAACAAGCATCGAGGAAACCAAGGGCAAAGACAGCAGGACCGAGCATGCCCAGCGTGATGTTGTTCGCCGCAAGATTGACGCTGAACCACATTATGGCCACTTGGGAGTAGCCAAGCAGACGCAAATCCTGTCGCTCCTCTGGCTCGACGCGTTCTATGCCGCGCGCCTCAAGGTTGTACGCGACAAGCTGTCTCTCAAAGGACTTCCACATGTCCTGCCACTTGCTCTTTTGTGCCAGGTCTTCATTCTCAGTATCGCGTGCGCTGACAGGCAGTCGGGGCTCGTTGCTCGCATGCGGCGCAAATACAGATTTCTTGTCATTAGGCGGGTTCGTGTTGGGTTCCATGACGTCGGCGACCTACAGCCATTAGTAGCAGCCTCGGAGCGAGGGAAGCAAAGCATGAGTCCTTTCGCAGGCTTTAACCTGATCAAGTTCAGACCGTATATCTCAGATCGCCGCCAACAAAGACGTTGACGAGCGAACACCGGTCTCATGCGCTGTGCTATCTGACGTTACCTTGATCGGGCTTTCTGCTACTCGGATGCATCCTGGCTATATTACCGTACTTGTAATGAGACAACGACGCGTTCTAGGAAATGAGAATTGGGTATGAAGAGGTGAATTGAGTGTCAATGGAAGCGAAAAGCGAAGGGGGACATGATCAAGAACCCCGCTATCGTGCCGTCCCGAAAAAACTTGCGCCTTTCCCGTGTCTTGGAGCCCTCACGTAATTAGACCAGCTCAAGTTGCTCACTATCTTTGAGTTATAACCGAGGGTTCGCGCATGCGCAACAGACACGCGTAGTGATGGTGGTGGTACCATCGCAACCCTCCGAAGCCATAGCTTCCTCCAGTTCACGCGGTGCAGCTTCGGGTCCAGCCTTGCCGAGCTAACATCAGCGCGTCAATACTGCAACGACGCGTTATCTCTGACGGAGCTACAACTTCATCTTGCACCACGGCAAAAGCACTGCGGTGTCGCCGACGAGCACAGACGACCCATGGCGACGTCACCTTACGCATCCAGCAAGTACACGCGGCACTCTTATCATCTTCGGCGTTTACCAATCATCTGGCTTGTTTCGGCGCTTGCCCGACCTTGCACACCATGCTCTTTCCATCCAGCTGCAGATTGGTCCTCTCCGTTCCTGCGTTTAGCATTTGGTATACCACTGCCCTACTGTGTTTTCCCTCAGGCTATGACTCTATTAGGCAGGTCCGTATCTGCTTAGTGACGCATCAACATCGAATCATCGACATCCGCAAGATGCAACTCGCCGGTACTACTGTACCTCGAGTACAATTACCATCCCCGGTTCTTCCTGTGAAACTAACGCGGGGGAAGGTAACGGAGGCTAAACCAGACAGGACTACACTTGAAATATGTACCCTAGCAAGCACTATCGGATCAAGCAATAAGTACCTGCCGGGGTGCGTCAGTCTTGAACAACCTCTACATTCATCCGAACCATTCTTTGGAGTTTATCCACCATGAAGCTGGCAGGAGCGTTACTCATGACCGCTGGTCTTGCGCCAAGACTAACTTTTGCTACGTCTGCGACTCTTGGGCGAGACAACAACAGCACGTGCAGGAAGACCACTGTCGCCATCATGTATGTTCTACTTAGACAGTAGAGTCCAATTGGCTGACCGTGTGTAGAGGTGGCGGGGTTGCTGGTATCACAGCGGCAGTAAGTCTACATGAACATTTGTTCTACAGAGGGAGACGCCGGCAAGACTGAACAGCGGCCGGATGGATCGGCCCGTCCCACAATCACTTTAGACATGCTTCTTTATCCATATACTAACGATTTTCAGCAAGCACTTGCCAACCAGTCCGTCACTGACTTCCTGATTCTGGAGTATCAAGATCACATTGGTGGCCGTATGCGAAACACCAAATTTGGCTCTGATCCCAACGGCAACCCTTACACCGTCGAGCTAGGCGCGAATTGGATTTCCGGATTAGGTGAAGATACCGTCGACGGCCCAGAAAACCCTGTCTGGACTTTTTCGAAACAAGTCAATCTTTCTAGTCCCAATTCTGACGCCTTCTCCATCGCGACCTATAATGAGACGGGTGCTGTAGATTACACGGATATACTAGATGAGTTTGAGGAGTACTGGAGTATCTTCGAACAAAGCGCTGGTACTATACTATCAGAAAACTTGCAAGACAGAAGTTTTCGCGCCGGTCTGTGGCAAAGCGGATGGAGACCAAAGGGCGACCCTGCACGCAAGGCTGTCGAATACTATCTCTGGGACTGGGAGACTGCCCAAGTAAGAATTATCCGAGAGCAAACATCCCTTGCACATGCTGATAGGTCCGCTCATAGACACCAGAGGAGTCGAGCTTCGTTTATGGTATCACAGGATACAACCTGACTTACTACGCTTTCTCAGAGATTAGTAACTGTATGAAATTGAATTGTGGAAAACGATCTAGACTAACTCAAACTTTCGACAGTCTGTACCGACCAACGCGGTTTCAATACGTGGCTCAAGCATCAAGCGTCCAAATTCCTAAAGCCCAACGATCCACGCCTCCTTCTCAACACTGTCGTCTCAAACATCACTTACTCAGATACTGGAGTACACATCACCACCTCGGACGGCTCATGCGTAGAGGCTGACTACGCCATCTCTACTGTCTCACTTGGTGTGCTACAAAACGACGCCATCACATTCGAGCCTAAACTCCCTGAGTGGAAGCAATCCGCCATTGCCACGTTTTCATTCGGCACATATACCAAACTCTTCTTCCAATTCAACGAAACCTTCTGGCCAGATGACAAGCAGTTTTTCCTGTACGCCGATCCAACGACACGCGGATACTACACTGTTTGGCAGAGCTTATCAACAGAAGGCTTCTTACCAGACTCCAACATCATCTTTGCCACACTTGTCGACGAACAGTCTTATCGCGTCGAGGCACAAGACGACGAGACTACAAAGGCCGAAGGCATGGCCGTTCTCCGTAAGATGTTTCCCAATACCACTATCCCAGAACCGATTGCCTTCACCTACCCGCGTTGGTCGCAAACGCCATGGTCTTACGGATCCTACTCCAACTGGCCTGCCGGCACCACGCTCGAGATGCATCAAAATCTTCGCGCAAATCTAGGCAGACTATACTTTGCTGGCGAAGCAATGAGTGCGGAATACTTTGGCTTTCTTCACGGCGCGTGGTTTGAGGGCCAAGAGGTGGGAGAACGTATTGCGGGGCAGATTACTACAGAGTGTGTCAATCGTGGGAGTGGATGTGGATCGTATAACCGCTACGAGGTCTTGCACGGAACCACTGAGTTGTGGGAGGTTAATGCATTTAACGGAATGGGGACGAGTCCGTTCTTTGTTGCCGATACTGGGGAGGCAGAGTAGATGGGTGGCTGGGAGCAAACGCGGCCGCGTACGACATGGCGCTTTTGGAATCATTTTGCTACACGTTAGGCGTATATTGACTCTTAGAGTCGTCAACCAAGAATGCGAGACGCTGGCAACTTCATATTTCTTTCTTATCGCTTTTCTTGCTTCTCGTCTTCCGCTTTCAGTTCAAAGTCCGCCCAAATTGGCACATGATCACCTGGCCCCATCTCTTTTTCGCTATCCATTACTCCACAAGCCTTGACACATCCTTTCTCCCACGCCTTTCTCCCAGCGATAAAGTAGTCCACTCTATCACCACTACTTCCCCATTTCCGGCCTCGCGAAAAATACGTATACCGTCGCTCTTCTTCGTGCATCTTTCTCCAAACATCAACACCACCAAAGCCATCATTCTTGTCTTTCCCATTACCATTCAGCAGCTTAGCATGGAAGTCCGCTCGATTGATAACGTGTGTCTGTGGGAAGATACGTAACTTGGGATGTCCATCTCGCTCATCAAGGGCAACATTCATATCACCTGCCAACAACACATCCCATCCTTGTGCCTCCAGCTCCTTGCATTCTCGCATTAGCAGAACATGAAATTTGCGTTTCCTATCATGCCGCGTGCCTATTCTGGCGCCTGTTGAGGGATCAAAATAGGCGTTATCAGTTCCGTTCACAGCGTAGATATTGAAAATTGCTAGTTTCGCTTCACTGGTCCTCGACTTGACTTCCACAATGTGGATCCGTCCTTCTTTATCCCAATCTACTGTTCGCATGGCGATATGATAAGTATCCATGAGATCGTGACGGACGATACTGCATACACCGTATATCTTGCCGCTTCCTTTGGGTCCGCGCGCGTTAAATCTGTCGGTTGGGAGCGTAAAGTATGCTTCATACAACGGGCCACATTCATCGGCATATGCTAATTCTGCTGGCAAATAAGATTTCAAGGCTGCCTTGACAGAGTTTTGGGTCCGCTCGTCCGCAGGTGCGATTTTTACTTCTTGCAGGAAGAGTATTGATGGCCATTGGTGTCGTTGTAGAAACGCCCTCAAGGACGCTGGTAGTAATGCGTGTTTTGGAGACCCATCCTGGGTACCTTTAGCTTTGGTGGGTTCAAAAAAGGATGTTATGGGCTTTTGTAAGAATGGAAGAATACCATTAATGTTCCAGGAAAAGATACGTAGGGAGTTTGCGTTGTGTGGTGGGAGAGGTGCAGGGGTGTTTGCAGGCACTGTTTGTCGGGAAGCCGTCACCGTATCGGAGCTGGTTTTGCGTCGTTTCGCAGGCGGTGGACTGATATCGCGGTTCATAGTGGAGTAGTGGCGGCACGCGGTATATGCCACAGCTATCGACGTTCAAGAATGGACCACAGTCCTCGTGCTGGTGAATGACGTCATATTCTCTGGCCTGTCCGCACTGAGCCAAAGACGCACGAATGCAAGCCCAAAGCCTTCAAACTTGATCAAAATGCAGGCATGTTCTATTGTACGCGATTGTACCCGACAATCGCGCATGCACGTGGGCGGAGCGACGCGTCGGCCTGCTAGGATTGATTGGGCAGTGATCAGCCACATCATTCACTACCCCTCCAACTTGACAGCACGCTACAAACCTCCGCCACTTTTCAGCCACCCCTATCGTCAATCTTACCCTCGATCCTTCAATTCAACTCTTACCTTCAATCATCATATTTCAGCCCAACATGTCCTACAGACGCAAGAAGAGTCTCCTCATCGGCATCAACTATGTTGGCAGTAGCCACGAACTGAAGGGCTGCCATTCCGATGTAGACAACATGGCTGAATTCCTTTCCTACCGCGGCTATAATAACTCACACAAAGACCGTGTCATCTTGACTGATCGTCCTGAAGTGCCATACGACTCACCCTACTTCCCCACAGGCCACAACCTCCTCGCAGCCATGGATTGGCTCGTCTCTGAACCTGGTTGCACGCTATTTCTGCACTACTCAGGCCACGGCGGACAAATTGCAGATGTAGATGGCAATAGGACCACGGGTATGGATGCTTCGATCGTTCCTGTGGATTTCGAACAGCGGGGTCAGATCTCCAGTACCATTCTCCATGAGCATCTTGTTACCTATATGGCCCGTGACTGCACTCTCTTCGTCGTCATGGACTGTTGCCACTCTGGCAGCGCACTCGAACTGCCTTATGTCTATCGCTCTGATAGCGATGGTCAGATTAATCTGATGGACAACCTGAAAGCTGGGCTTAGGCTCGCCGACGAAGCTCGCGATATCATCTCCGGTGGCTTCTCCTACAGTAAAGTCGGTGAGGCGAAGGAGTTGCTCGCAGGTGCCAGCACCTTCTTTAAGGGCCTGAAACATTTCGGGGAAGAAGAGGAGGAAGGCCTGGAAAGCGGAGAATTTGCGGGACAGTACGGGAGCGAACGGAAGATGGTGACAATGTTCTCTGGCTGTAGAGACGATCAAACGAGTGCGGATGCGCGCATAGAAGGAGAGCCGACAGGTGCTATGACATGGGCGTTTTTGGAAATGATGAAGAGCGATCAAAGCCCAAGTTATGCTGAAGTGAGTGCTAAGCACAATGTTTTTGACCGATCATGGTTTGACTGACTGGCACACAGACACTCAAGTTCATAAGGAGAACGTTGGATGAAAGTGACTACAAACAGATTCCGCAGTTGAGTTCGGGATTGGATATTGACCTGGATGAGATGGCTTTGGTGCTTTGATCTCAAAATACAATCATCGGATAATGATTCTGCGTACGTAGACAATCAACTATAGAGGAAAACTCCAGGGCTCGAACAAGCAGTTTTTCAAATGAGTGTCTTGAACATAGATCGAGGCCTTCTTGTAGCAAACTTGGCAATTGACGCAGCTTGTATCACGCATGCATCGGTCAGTTCTTTCAAAACAACGACACAGTTTGCCAGTCTCTACAGCATGGCAATAACATAGGGCTAAAAAGGAACAAGCAACCTTCCAATAAAGCCTTCCCATTGACTATAACATCACTTTAGTCACCCTCCGATCGGATCGTCCTAAAACAATACCAAATTTCAAAGATGGCTCAACCCATCGACCCGGTCCGTGTGCGCATCTTCTCAGAGCTCAATCTCCAATTGGCCCAGCACGACATCTCTAAAGATATCATGAACGAGACAGCTAAGCATCTTGCCTTCCTCTCACGCTACTACCTCAACGATCCCCACATCAATCCCCTCATCGTCAGCGTACCCATCGTCGACGTACCGGTTGTCAGCCCTGGAGGAGGAGTAGCTATGGCACACAAGATTGCTTTAGTCGTCCACGAGACCGCCTCGTCGTCTGCACCTGCATCTGCATCTGCATCAACATCGTCCAGGCCGCGCATCCGTGTGCTGATCCGGACAATCGGTACCATGGGTCATCGGAAATGCCTAGTCACTAACTTATGTGCTATTGCTGAGCGTGTTATTGGAGGTTTGTTAGATGGCGACGAGGATATGGTGGGTGCATGTGAAGTGAGCACGAAAGGCGAAGAAAGGGAGAAGAAAGTGGGAAACAAGCCTGTGTGGGATGTCGTGGCTTGGGAAGATTATTGTTGAGATGCTAAGAAGTAAGGCAGAGGGCAGAGAGGAATGGAGAGGACTTTGAGATGTAAAGTTGATTGTTGCTTAGTTGTCCATAATCTTTCTAGCCAGTGGAGCTTGAAATGGTAGACGGATGATGAGAACTTCGCATCAAAATAACAGAAAAGAAAATCCAAAAGGTATCCTTAGCTAGAGAGACTCAAGCCATTTCCCATCACACCAAAACACCTGCCCGCTACCCGTCAGAAAGAGTTTACCCAAGAACAGTGCGACTGAAGAACAAACGCCTCCCAAATGCACTAAAACACCGCGATGAAGTGGCTAATCTTTTGCAACCTCGGTCCGGACTTCGCCCTTGACGTTCTCAGAATCGCGTTCTGTTTCACCCTCTTCCTTAGCTGCAGCAATTTCTTCCTTGTCCGCATTGTCTTCCATCTCGACATCTGCCGTCGGGGCAGATGTGGGTGCCATCGCTGTCGGTGCGGTGGGTGGGGATTCAGGTGGGGTCACGACACCTCCTGTGGGCGACTGAGACTGGTCCGGGTTATCAGCAGGAGCAGGTACAGCGGGCGGTGCATCCATGTCAATGTCACCGTCATCGTCTGCTTCTTGCTCGCCAGTAGCGGGAGTTTGCGTGCGCGACTTGGCGGCTGCGGATGCTTGGCGTGTTGATACGGCGCTTTCACCATTGATCTCTTCCATGCCGTCCAGATCGTCCGCCGGAGCAGCGTTAGGATTAGGGAAGTCGGTGATGTTCCGCTTCTTCTTGGTACCAGGTTGAGCACGCACTCCAAGACTGTTTTTGTAATCCTCGTCATCGCTTGCGTCGTATAGCTCGCCATCGTGCTCTACCTGCTTGTCGCGCTGGCGTTGTGTCATTCGTACGTCCTTGTTTTCATCGGCATCAATGTCATCGTCTTCATCTTCAGCGTCTGAGTCAGCCGCGCGTAGCAGCGACGTGGGTACATCGGGTATAGTGGTAAAAGCTTCAACTGACGGCCTTCCGGTTCTTCGGATGTTCTCGATGACGGCAGATTTAATCTTATGCAGGTAGTCGTGAGAGTTTGCGTTTTCCATGTTTGACGGTCGGACGTCCAGCTCGTAGTCGGGAGCGAAATATTCGTAATAGTCGTTGAAAGGCAGCTGCTTGGACATTTTGGTCGAGACGAGCTCTCCTGTTTCGTAGGCCCAGGTTCGTGCTACGTTTCTCATGGTGTAGCCACCACCTCCAAGTACGATAACTGGGACACCAAAGCTCTTAACGTACTTGACACAGTTGGCGTGGCCGTCCATGCTCAAGTTGAAGCAGCCAAGTCTGTCACCCGAGAGACTGTCACCACCGCACTGCAAGACGATAGCCTCTGGCCCATAGTATGTCATAACAGCCTCGATGACGGGCTCGAAGATGTTGCGGTATGTGTCGTCGGTGATGCCGTCGCGAAGAGGGAAGTTGACCGAGTAGTTTTTGCCGCTGCCGACACCAATGTCGCGTAGTTCGCCGGTACCTGGGAAGTACTCGCCGTACTTGTGGAAAGAGACTGTCATGACGCGATCGGTCGTGTAAAAGGCTTCCTCGACACCGTCACCGTGGTGAACGTCAATATCAATGTACAGCACGCGCTGCTTGTATCTGAGTAGCTCGATGATGCCCAAGACGATGTCGTTGACGTAGCAGAAACCACTAGCCTCGCTCTTCTTTGCGTGATGCAGTCCTCCGGCCCAGTTGACAGCGACATCGCACTTTCCTCGGTTCAAGCGTGCAGCACCCTCCATAGTTCCACCGGCACTGATGCCGCAGAACTCAAAAAGACCATCAAAGACTGGGCAGTCGTCACCAACATTGTACTTGCTCTGTTCGCGCGTGAAGCTTTCCATGTTGTCGGGTGTGACTTTGTGCAAAAACTCTATGTATTCATCTGTATGGAATTGCGTCATTTCGTATTTGGAGGCTGGTTTTGCGCGCTGCTGTGTGTTAGCAGAGATGCACGCGGGCCTAAATCAGGGTTCTGCCTACGTAAATCTCCATCTTGGTGTACAGGCCATAGTTCATGATCAAGCTATGCGCCATGCGTATGCGGTGGGGCTTCATGGGATGTCCTGCTACATAGGCATAGTTGCCGACGTCGGAGTCGTAGAAGTAGGCGACCTTTTTTGGTTGCGACGCGACGCCGTTGTTCAAAGAAGCGGAGCCCGTCGTGGGCGCCATGTCGGTGGTAGCCATATCTTTGTCGGCTGCGCACAGCTATGCGACTGTGGGGGATTGTGGTGATGATGCTTTGAGAGGTGGAGATGATTTTGGACGGGAGGTAGCAGAGAAGGGTGAGTTCAGATATACGCAGTGCTCGAGTGTCAGCGATCAAGGAAAGGTGGAGGGGTCTGTAGGAGAGATGGCGGGAGCTCTAACAAAGACCCTCGCGCGCCATTGAGCATCCATGGATCGAGCTGCGACAGGGCACCCCTGCCTAGCCCCGGTTCCGGAATAACCGAATCGCCGCATCTGGCAGTCGCGCAGTTACGTGAGAGAGCTCGAGCATCAACAGCTTCATCATCGCCGCCGCCTACCCAAACACTTGCTCCGCCCAACCCACTGTCACGCTCGACTACTCTCCAAACACCGCACTCGCAAAACCTACAGCGCCATCGCCAATACACTACCATGGATCGGTTAACCAGTATGCTTGCCGCCGCCCGAGGTGGCATGGGCGGTATGGGAGGACCCCAAGGCGACACCAACCTGATCGACAACTCG